CTGACCCCACAGGGACCCTCCTCAGCCATCAGCAAAGACAGGCTGGTCCCGCTCCTTTAAGCACCTTGCCCTGACCTGCACTCCCTGTCCACCTCCCTACCACCCCAGCCCACCCCCGTCCCGCGGAGGGGCAGCCTCCACGGCCCTCCCACACCTACACCAAGGGGGCTCCTGTCTGGTCACCATGGCGATCTTGCTAAACCTCGGGGGCAAGTCTCAGACCCCAAATTACGCCCCCATCCACAACATTACCTGGCCCAGCTGACGTCTCCCTCCTCCTGCAGACACCCTACAGCTCCCATAGCTCTGCCTTCCCATCAGCCATCTCCTCACAGCTTCCTCCGGGTCCCGTCCCTGCTCCTCTTGTGCCGTTCCCACACACCACACCTGTCCCACCGCCCTCTCCGCCTTTTCATGGTTGCTGCCTGAGGCCACATCGCCTGTGGGGTCCTGCCCCTCCTCTGCTCAGATCCCCACTGGCTCCCCTGTGCCCCAGAAGCCTGCTGACCCTCAGGTGTGCACCTGTTCCCCTTCAACCATTCTACTTTGTGTCCCTGGGTCCCACAAGCAACCGGTTAGCCTTCCAGCCTTCGCTCCAGTGCCCAGGGCAGTGCGGGGCACAGGTGGGTGCCCTTAAGCCTAGTGCAGTGACCAGGGGCACCCCAGGGTTGGGGCCGCCGGGACCATCCTCTCTGGGGCTAAGTCACCCCAAGTTCTGGGCCTGGATGTGCTGGGTGCTGGGGAGAGTGGGGGCAGAGGGTGCCACATGGGTCACTCCTGCCTCCACCGTAGGGGTGGGGTGCAACCCTGAGGGTGGCCGGGAGGCGGACATGCGGAAGAGCCAGGCCTCCAGCTGCTGATAAAGCTTCATTAATGGCCTCTTGCTAATGAGAAAGCCGGGCTGATTATGACAAATTGAAGGGGGCAGGGGCTAAGTGGAGACACCAGAGACACCCTGGGGCAGGGGTGGGGTTGGAAGGGTGGGCAGGGTGGAACGGAGAGGTGGTTCCCAGGCCCCTTGCTCCTCCAGTGCCCCCACACTGGCCCTTCACCTGCCCCTGCCCAAATCCCCACCCGCCTCACCTCCATGCCCAGCTCTCCAAAGTGCATGAGGCCTGTGCAGCAATGGGTGGGGGTCCCTAGGGGTGACTAAGTGAACTGTTTCAGGCTTTTCTGGGCAGGACAGGAGGAAGGGCAGTCCTTAGCTTGAGGCTGGAATGGGGGTACAGGGCTTGGATGGAGACTCAGGGGCCCCTAGGGCTGCAGGGAGGACTGGCCAGGCACGTGAGGAGTTGCCCAGAGACCCCGGGCCCAGCTATGGGGTTGTCAAGGACACCTTGAACCACCCTAGCAGAGACGGCTAGGCCAAGGCTGGGGCAGGGACCATGTGGAAAACACCCACCCCGTGGGGAGCTGGCCCTGTGGTCTCTGGCTTGGGTAGGGAGGCACAAGCTCTGTGCCTCGGTTCCCCAAGAGTACCCCAGAGAAGAGGCCCATTTCCTCCTCTCCTTCAGTCCAGGAGGTGTCTGGCTTGGGAGACACACAGTCCTGGGTCTGCGGCTCAGGTGCCCCGGTCTCTCTAGGTCCTCGTCCCCATATCCAGGACCTCAGGTGCGGGGTCTGCTTTCTCTGGGAAGCACCCCTAGCTGGGACAGAGGCAGCTGTCTGGGCTTCTTTTTGTCCATCTGCCTGCCTGTTTCAAGCCTCACTGCACACCAGACTGTCCCAAGAGCTGGGCGAAGCAGGCAGAGAATATCCTGCTTTCAACATCCAGGCCGCAGCCCTGCCCACCCTCACGGGCCACCCTTCCTCTGCTCGGCCCTCCTCCCAGCAGCCCCTTCCAGGCCACTGCCTATTAGACCTGGGGACCCACAGTGCCGTGTCCAGCAGCAGCCCTGGATGTCCTGACACCTCCCTTCCCAACGCCCATCCCCAGTCAGCTTCTGGAACCTTCTCTCCAGGTTCCCTTCCTGACCACTGGGGTCCTGCCAGCTCTGCCTGCCCATGGGTGCTCTTGCCCAGCCCACACCAGCCCTGGGCTGGACAGCAGGCAGGAGCCCCAGGATTTGAGGCACCACAGGCCCCATGCAGCTGGCCTCCTACGACGCTGGGGTGTTATTTAGAGGGTTTGGGGCGAGACGAGAACAGCCTAATGGGGCTGACCATGTGGAACGACGTCTTATCTGGGCCTGCGCCGGCCATCCATTACCGCTAATTACACCGGCCTCGTGCCTCGGCCGCTCTCGGCCAGGTGGGCCACCCTGTCCTCATTGTCCTCTTCCGGGGACGGCCCCGCGGCTTGCGGGAAGGGCCTGGGGTCTCCCTATCGTCCTGGAGCAGCAGCCCCACGTCGTGGGCACCCCGTGATAGATGAAGCATGGAAATTAGTTCCAGAGTTTAACTGATAACCGCAGAGCCCGCGACACTCGGTTATGGCAGCTCTAATTGATGAGCTCATTAAGTCCATTATTAGAGAAATTGATTTCAAATAGGCACTTAGAGTGCGCGGGGAGGCAGGTGGAGAGGGAGCACAGAAGGCAGGGGAAGTCTCAAAATACATAATGAGGCACGTAATGTTATAGGTTTGTTTAATGAAAAGCCTCAACCGCACGCCTGTGGCCGCGTGGGTTTTAAACACCCATTTTATGTACTAATAAAGCTCCTGGCTCTGGGGTCCCTCCCTGGCCCCAGCCCACTGTGCTCTGTGGCTGCCCTTAATTAATTAATTAACCCGGGCAAGGCGATCAATGAGTTAGTGGTGCAGAATCGACACTCCGAGGCCGTGGCTCATTGGGAGAGACGAGGGAGGCCGGTGGGGCTGGTGGCGGAAGAGGGTGCCTGGGCTTTCCATCCTTTGCCCTCTCGGTCCCACCCTGCCTGGCTCAGCCATCTGAGGCTGAGGCAGACCCTGTCCAGATGGTGGGGACCTGGGTTGCTGTAGAGCTGCTGCGCCAGGCCGGGGAGAGGTGGCCCAGACCCTGAGGCTCAGGGTCCCAGAACCAGGATGGGAGACAATCACGGTGACCCTGACCTGCCTGCTCCAGCTCCAGGGGTCCCTCCCAGCCACGCTCCACAGGCTACTGACGCCCTCCTCTCGGGGCTACAGGGCTTAGTCTGGGATGGTTTTCAGCATCCCCCCCAGCCTCTGTGCAGCCCCCAGACCACACGCACCTAAACAGACACACGTGTGGACACACCCAGGTACTCGGAATTCCACATGCAGACACATGTGGACACACATGGACACGCAGTGATACTGACACAAATACACGGAATCCCTTACAGAGACACACGCAGACGCTCACAGACACGCTACACACACATGACCAGCCCTTCCTTTCTGCAACTTTCAGGCTGTGAGTCCGGAGGCTCCAACATCTCCACCTTGTTGTCCCAGAGGGTTCTCACACTCAGCACGGCTGAACCCTAACGATCCCCGACCACCTGCTGCCCAGAAGTCCCCGTCCCACAGCGAGGGGTGCCCGACCTTCCAGGCCCTGCCATGGCCCCCGCAGTTTCTCCTGGCCCCTTCATCCTGCAGAGGTTCCCATGGCTGCACCATGGAAATGCACAGAACCCAATCCCTCCTCATGCTCCCTCTCGGCTGCCCGAGCCTCCTAGGCATCCCCCCCATCGCTGCAGCTCAGCGGCCATCACACAGAGTACAGCCCTTGCAGCCTGGCCCTCAGCCCTCTGGCCTCCAGCCCGTGGCCACGATGACCCTGGCTGTGCCTCCCACGCCAGGCACTGCATCGAGGGCCTCCTGCTGTCCCCTGTCTGGAGCCGCTCCCCAGGTGACTGTGCTCCCTTCGCCCAGTCCTTCCCGCCTTGTCCCACCTTCCTCCACGGTGGTCACCTTCACCTGGGGTCCCACATGCGTCCCGTGGACCGACTGCCACATCCACACTAGGACGCAGGCTCCACAGGGCGTGGTGACATCTGTTTTCTTTTTCCTCGGATGCAGCCCAAGTCCCCAGAAGAGTGTGGGGTGCCGAGGAGGAGCTCTGCCAAGTTCAGGAGAGAAGAGATGCGTGTAACTCATTTAACCGCACAGCAGGGAGTCAGGAAACACCGCCCAGTAAGACAAGAAGTGACACATTTTGCAGTTGATACGATAATTAAAATGGCGCTGCAGCCACGCACAAGCTGAGCTGGGCCTGCTGTGCAGGCAGCTAACGCGGGGCGCTGAAAAACAGAACAAACCTATGAGTCTGTCGGGTGACTCGATGGGCCATGCCTGAAGACCCGGTGACCAAGCTGGTGCAGGAACCCGCGGCCCACAGCAGGGAGCCGCTGCCACGTCCTAAGGCTGCTGGGGTGAAGTTGGAGCTGGGGACACAGAGCTGGGCCAGGCTTCCTAGAAGAGGAGGATCAAGAAGGAGGCACCTCCCAGTGAGAGCCGAGGTGAAGAAATGCCACTCAAGACAGATGCGGAGGGATCCAGGCTCCCGATCCCTCTGGGCTGTGGCCAGGGCCTCCCTTGACTGGATCCAACCAGAGGGCAGTGGTGGTGAGCCTGGGAGCAAGGGTGGAGGGTCAGTCCCAGCCCCAGGGCAGAGTGGCCGATGTGGTGGGGTGGAGGTGAGAGGCAGGGCGGCCGGCCAGCACAGCCATCGCTGCACGGGGGCCCAGGCCCACATCTGACTTCCACATGACCGGGCACTAGCTGTCTGCCTTGGATGCTGCAGCTCTCCGTGAGCCCCCACCCATGACAGAAACCCAGGCTCCAGCCATCCCTGCAGGCACCATGCAGGGGTAAATTCCGTGTGACATCACCTCGGCTTTCTGTAACGCAGAGCTACGGCGCCAAACACCACAAACATTTAAAAAGTTAAGGGTAGGCTGGGCATGGTGGTGCACGCCTGTAATCCCAGCCACTCAGAGGCCGAGGCGGGAGAATCGCTTGAACCAGAGAGGCAGAGGCTGTAGTGAGCTGAGATCATGCCACTGCACTCCAGCCTGAATGGCAGAGTGAGACCATGTCTCAGAACAAAAAAACAAAAGACAACAACAGCAAAAAACCAGAAAGGATAGAAGAAAGGATAAAAAGACGTAATTGCATTAATGAGACGACTGGATTGGAGGCGAAGACGCTGGAACCTCCAGCTCCATTTCTGTGCTGTACGTGAGGCCGACTGATTCGATCGCCTCCTGCCGTCTCCCAGGGCTCCCTCGTCCTTCTCAGGTGGCCCGGCTTCCTCCTCCCACGGTGCAGGGGGCTGTGGCATCTCAGCCTCACAGGATCAGGCCACCACAGTCTAGAGTCCAAGCGAACTCTGAGAGCCACCTCCAACTGTGGCAGTGGGAACATTCAGCCCAGACCTGTCCCCCTTGGTGTGACACCCTCAGAATCCACGTCCGCACTGCTTCCCTGTGTCCTCGCATGGTCTCCTGTCCCTCAGGCTGCGTATTCAGGGAAAACAGGACAGTTTCCTTCTGGGTGTGGGGAGGGCAGCCAGCCGGGGGGCGCTGGTGTGGGGGGCAGCACGGGGGGTGGGTCCCTTCTGATGGCGGGAGGGGCCGCTTCTGCTGCCAGGGGAGGCTCACGGGGACCAGGAGCTCGGGGGGTTCCAAACTTCCGGAATTCATCTCAGTTCATCCAGATCTCATCCCCGTCTCAGGACACCCCCCGTAGCCCAAGCTCCACTCCGAATAAAAGTGCTGACAGGGCCAAACACTGGGTTCAGGCTGTCACTGGAAACCCCAGCGTCACCCTTGGAGCCTGATCTTCAGTCACATCTGTCCTAGGGCTATAAAGAAGAGGTGGATTTCAGACCCTGGTGGGGCAGAGGGAGGTGCTCCCTGGCTTTCTGACTGTGACTTGGCCTTTTTGCCTTGCCCTTCCCCTCCCTCCCCTCCTTTCCCCTCCCTTCCCCTCCTTTCCCCTCCCCTCCCCTCCCTTCCCCTCCCCTCCTTTCCCTTCCTTCCTTCTTTCTTTCTCCTTCCTTCCTCCCTCCCTCCCTTCCTTTTTTTTTTTTGAGACAAGGTCTGGCTGTGTCGCCCAGGCCAGTCTTGAACTCCTGGGCTCAAGCCATCCTCCTGCCTCAGCCCCCGAAAGTGCTGGATTTCAGGTGTGAGCCGCCGTACCTGGCCTGCGTGGGCTTTTTATGTTAAGGCGTCTGTGGTTGTGGTTGTCCACGCATGCAAATATGACTGTGAGGAACCTGGTGAGCCAGGCGGGCATCGGCCGGGGAACGGGTCATGTAGGCTCGTGGGGCCTCCCCTCTGCAGCGTGACTCTGGGCTGTTCTGAGGCCTGGTGGGGAGGGTAGGTGATGGGTGGCCCTCCAGAGTGGCCTTGGTGCTTCCCAGCCCCTCTGTCCACCTCCCAGACCAGCTGATCCAGGCCTGACAGACACAGCCGGCCCGGGTCATGCCGAGGAAGGGACAGGCGCCACCCTGCCGATCCCACTGCCTCCCAGTGAGGTGTGAGGCTGAGCCCTGGAGCGCCGTCAGGACCCGGAATTTACCTGGCAGTAACCCAGGATCTCGCAGGAGTCCCTGGCATCTGGGCGACGCCTTGTTCCTGGTCGTTTTTCGCCCTCCTTGCTCCAGTGGTCAATTTGATTGAAGAAAGACCCACAAAGGGTGGGTTGCTGAGACGTGGCCTCCGTCGCCTTCTTTAACTTTCAGGTCTGAAGACGCTACTGCCCATTGCCGCTTCAAGCCCACTGAGGGCCGCCCCCAGCCCTGTGTGTGGCTGTGCAGAGGCTGGTTCTTTCCAGTGCCCGTGGCTGTGGCCGGCGTCAGGGTCGAGCCATGACCGGGGTAAGTTGAGGCTCTGTTGGGGAGTGGGGTGGGGCCGGGCGGTGCAGGGGTGGGTCAAGGCTCTGGAGGGGTGTGGGGTGGGGCCAGGTGGTGCAGGGGTGGGTCGAGGCTCTGGAGGGGTGTAAGGTGGGGCCGGACGGTGCAGGGTCCCTGCCATCCATCTGTTCACTGTGTCCTCCACTTCCGGCCCCGTGTGGAGACAGAGACAGATGGCAGAAAAGCGATTTACAATGTGGCCTGTTCTATTTCCAATTAAACCACAGACATTAGTTAATATGCAGGGCTGGGAATCTCGGGTGGAGATAATGTGCAGATAGCTCTATAAAACTCTGCTAGGATCAAATAATTTTGCACAAATTTGCAAACAGCATGGTTTTTGTAAATAACCGTAATCTTTCTACCAGCGAGGGTGCCGATTAGGCGCTTTTCCTCATGATGATTCAGTGATGACCTAATTTACCTATTGTTGCTGCGCGTCCAGTGCAGCCAATGGCATTGTCCAATCTGGTCCCAAATCCATCCTGTTGGCGTTAATTCATATTGACCAAATGTTTACAAATTGAGCCTTTTCCCCCTCGTTATGCCTGACGGTTAACTCCGCTAATGAGCCCGTCTGCTGACGCGGCACCGACCTGCAGGCCCGGGAGTCTCGGCCGCCCTCGCCTGTCCTGAGCCCATCCTGAGCTCGTCCTGAGCACACCCCCGGCGTCAGCCCGGGCTTGCAGGAGGTGTCTGGCCTGGGCGCCACCCGGGAGAAGGGGCGGGGCGAGGTGAGGCCAGGAGGCGGGGGGAGGGGTCGAGGAGGGAGGGAGGAGGGGCCCGGAGCTGCTGCCCTGCAGGGAGGCTCCGCAGAGGAGGGCGCGACCTGAGGGTGAGTGGGGTGGGGCGGGGTGGGGGCTCCGTGTGAGGTGCGGGGTGTGGCCGGGGGAGTCACAGGACAGCCCCCAAGGAAACTTGCTCTGGGGCTGTGGGATGAATACCACAGGCAGGGGTGGAGCTTAAAACAGCAGAGTTCTCTTGTGGTCTGGAGCCCAGAGCCACCTGGAATTTACCTGGCACCAGCTGGCATCACCAGGGGTTACTCGATACTTGCCCCGTGGCTTCCTCTGAAGGCTTGGGGCTCCCTCCTGCCTCCCCCAGGTCCTGGGGGCTGCGGCAACCCTCGGCGTCCCCTGGCTTGGAGGGGCCACTCCAGCCTCTGCCTCTGTCTTGGCCATCTGCTCCCTGGCACCTCTGTGCTCCTTCTCAGGAGGACACCGGCATTGGTGGGGGACCTGCCCATATCTGGGAGGGTCTCATTTGAGCCTTACCTCAGCCACATCTGCAAAGATCCTCTTTCAGATCATGGTCAGGAGCCCGGGCTTCAGGGATCTGCATGGAGGCTCCCCTCCCCGGGGTGGTTTCTCCGTGGACGCAGAGGCTTCCCTCCCTGGGGTTCCTGTTCTATGCACGTGGAGGCAGCTCGGTGCGGGCAGTGGCTGCCTCCGCTGCTTAGAGAAGTGGGAAGGACGGTCTGCAGAGAGAGACAGGACCCAGGGAGCGAGGCCAAGAGGGAGAGAGGCAGAGGCAGAGGCCGCAGGCGAAAGAACAGGGACAGGGAGGCCAGCGTGCAGGAAGTGTCAGGCTGGCCCGGCTGGTCCCGGCCAGGAGCTCCCTGCCAGGGCTCTGTGGCTCCGAGCTTTCTCCCAACAGATTTGCTTCTCTGATCAACCGTGGTCAGAGGCCCAGAAGGAGACATGGGGAGCCTGGCTTGGGAGGACCCCACTAGCGTCTGGAGGCCTCAGTGTACTCTTCTGTAAAATGGGACAACAAGGACACCTCTTCCCTGGGGTCTTGGGGAGGGTTAAATGGCGTCATCCCCATGCCGGACCCAGTGCTGGCCTTTGTCACCATCCCGGGGTCTCAGGCCCTGGGCAGATAGGCCCCTCCCCCACCAAGCTCAGTTTCCAGCGGTGGCTGCTGTGTGATGGTGGAGACTTTACTTGGTATCTGTGTGCTCGTTTGATACCTGACTGTCCTGCAACGCCAGCTCTCAGGGCAGGGGCGGCGTGTGCTTCTCCCTCAGCTTGGAGCCCGCAGGCTGTCCACGCTTGTTGACTCTGTGGCAGGTCTAGTTCTAAGCATCATTGTCACTGAGACCTGCGCACAGCAAGGCGCTTGGATCAGCGCCTGGCCTGTGGTTGGCACCTGTGGGCATTGTGTTAGCTGCCAGTATTATTCTCTCTCATTTAATCTTTGCAAGCTCACGAGGGTTTGCTGAGTGGATCAAGGGTCAGAGTGGGGAGTGGGGGTGCTAATTGGACTACCCCAGAACTAGCAGAGCAAGGCTGGGCCAGGGCTGGTGAGGATGGTGCCTGCCCCGGCCATGCCAGGCAGGCTTCATGCCAGGGAGGGGGTGGCCTGGCAGCCAGGGAGGGGGTGGGAGCAGGCTCTGAGGGGGGCAACCAAGTGGGCTCCCTGGAGGAGGAGTGCCTGTAGGCCAGGGGGCTATGGGTCATGGGGGCTCAGGGGAGAGCGATAGCTGTGTCTGAACGAAAGGGTGGAGGCAGCACAGACCGGAGATCTCAGAGGAGGCCTCGCGTCCCGCAGCTGCGGAGGTGCAGGGCCCGGCTGAGACGCCGGCAGGCCTCATCGGGCTGCTGCCCGTTCTCTCCAGGAGTCCCATGGTGGGTGCGTCGGCCTCGACATCCTGCTCAGCTTCCTGGATGTTGCACACCATGCTTGCACCAGCTGGCGGGGCTGCCCCTCTAGCATTCTTTCCCAGGCATCTGGGCTGGGGGCGGTGACGTGGAGAAGGCATCGCTGAACATGTTTTCGGGCCTGTGGGTTTCTTCCCTGCATCCCCTGGGCAGGCAGATCACGCCATCACCCCAAGCTGTGCTGGGGAGGAGAGGAGCCATTGGTACCTGCGAAGGGGTTGTTATTATGCTGCCCTTAAAAACAGTCCCGTTATCAACTCTTCCAATCAGTGGTTATGACAGCAGCATTTATGTGCGTTGGTGACAGGGGCCTCAAGGCCCAGTGCCACCTGGCAGCCTTGGAGCCTCGGGCCGGGCACCCTGCACTCTCCTTGGCTGCGCGGGCCCCAGCGCCATCCTCCAAGCATGCAGGGCTTCCCGGCCCTTTCCCAGATTTATACTCCCAGCGCCATCCTCCAAGCATGCAGGGCTTCCCGGCCCTTTCCCAGACCCCCGCCTCCCAGCGCCATCCTCCCAAGCATGCAGGAGAAGCACCCGGCCCTTTCCCAGACCCCCGCCTCCCAGCCCTCTTCCTTTAAGCATGCAGGGCTTCCCGGCCCTTTCCCAGACCCCCGCCTCCCAGCCCTCTTCCTTTTGCTAAAAAGCTAGACTTTTCTACTATTTGTGCTGCTTTTAATCCATAGGAAGTCAATTTTCCACTCATATATTAGTTTATTTTATATTTTCAAATTGATTCGACTATGCATTGATTTCCTGTTGTGGGCATTGTGTCCTGAGCCGGGATTACGCGTTTAGGAGAAGTGGATACTCATGGCACATAAAGGTGCCTCTACGCCACAGAGCTCTTATCTTGAAAAGGGAGAGTCCAATTTTATTGAAACAGCTAAAATCCCACTTAATTGAATTTTTTTCCTCTAAGATGTACAAGCTTAGAGACGTTTGCTTTCCAATTCAACTCAGGCTCCGTGGTGTTTAAATTTCCAAACCCATAAAGACCTTTATGAAAAAGACCCTACAAATATTTTATCTCTGAGCGGGCGCGTCGGTGAGCGCCCAGGTGGGAGTGGGGAGGCATCCGTGCCCTTGGACAGCCTTTGATCCTGCAGAGGGGCCCTGGGCGCTGGCTTCTGGACAGTGCCTCCCCTGGGCTGCTCGCTCCCTTCCTTCGGGCCAGGCGGTTTCCTCTCCCCGCTGTGCTCGGTGGCCTGGGCTCTGTGGCTTCCTTAGTGGCCTTTCTGGGTGCTGACATCACCCTGCCCCCACCCTTGCAGTGGCTGAACCAGGTGGCCCTCATCCGTCAGGGACTGGCCCTGGCTGCCTGGTGACTGAGCTGGGCTTTGACCCTGGCCACTGGTTCCCAGGCCCTCTCCCCTCACCTCCCACTGACTCTCAGGGAGGAGAGAGGAGAGGGGGTGAGCAGGCCGCACCCAGCGCCCAGCACTCTGGAGCTGCTAGACCAAGTCCCCTGGACAGCAGCCTCTGCCCCAGCTCAGCCCAGGTCATGCCCAGGGCAGGGGTGTGGCCAGTGTGTGTGGGGACCTGGGTCTGGGTGGGGTCTTCACTGCACCTGCCCTGGGCCTGGGCTCCAGGCCCACCAGTCACAGCTGGGTGAATGAAGGGGTGCTTGTGAGTTGGGGGCCCTCTGTCTGGGGGTGTCTTAGGTGGGTCTGGGACCCTCTGTCTAGGGGTGTCTTAGGTGGGTCTAGGACCCTCTGTCTGGGGGTGTCTGAGGTGAGTTTGCGACCCTCTGTCTAGGGGTGTTTCTTAGGTGAGTCTGGAACCCTCTGTCTGGGGGTGTTTCTTAGGTGAGTCTGGGACCCTCTGTCTGGGGGTGTCTTAGGTGGGTCTAGGACCCTCTGTCTGGGGGTGTCTTAGGTGGGTCTGGGACCCTCTGTCCCCTCTGTCTGGGTGGCCCTAGGTGGCCCAGGACCCTGGTCTGGGGGAAACTGTAGTGGCTCAACTCCTGTCCAAAGGTGTTTGTCTTAGGTGGGTCTGGGACCCTCTGTCTGGGGGTGTCTTAGGTGGATCTGGGACCCTCTGTCTGGGGGTGTCTTAGGTGGGTTTGAGACCCTCTGTCTGGGGGTGTCTAAGGTGAGTCTGGGACCCTCTGTCTGGGGGTGTCTCTGAGGTGAGTTTGGGACCCCCTGTCTGGGGGTGTTTCTTAGGTAGATCTGGGACCCTCTAAGGATCCTCTGTCTGGGGGTGTCTGTTGGGTTGGTTGGGCCTCCTCTGTCCTCAGGAGGCACCCTCGTCTTGCTCCCTGAGCCTGGCTGCCTCCTGAGTCCTGAGAACCCACTTGCTGCTCCTGGTATGTTCTGGCCTCATGTGCACCCACCTGTAGGCAGGGACACAGGCTCCTGTGTGCTCTGCTCAGATGCAGCTCCGCCCTCCTGCCAGATGCCACATGTGCCCCCCGCGGAGCCATGCCCTGCTGCCCGGGCCCCACCCAACCACATCCAGCCTCCTTCAAGGCCTGGTCCCCACCTCCGGAAAGGCCAGACACTGGGCTGTGACCCCCCCTTCCCACCTCCCACCTGCCCACCGGCCTCTTTACTGAGTCCACCCTGGCCTGGGGCCTGAGCACCTGTGGGCTGGGCATGGCCAGGTGGGGTGGACCCTGGGGACCCTAAGAAGCTCCTCCCAGCCTTGAGCATCCGCCCCAGCCATGCCCCTGGGGCTCCCAAATCCCCATGGTCCTTAAAACACTGAAGGGGAATGGTGGGTCCAAGGACATCCTTGGGGATGGGGTGGGGTCTAGGCCTGCCTGACCTCTGGTGTCTTACCCCAGCCTCAGTTTCCCTCTAGCACCAGGGTCTGGGGCTACACCTCACTCCTGTGGCCGCGGGATTGGTGGTCTGAACACCAAGCTGGGGCAGAGGAGAGCTTGGCCTGACTCCAGGGCCCACACTGGCCATGGGGCCGTGAGCAGGTGGCCCCCTCAACTGTGGGGGGTGGTTCTGCCTCTGGGGACACCAGGCACCTCCTCCCTAGCCTGGACTATCATCTGTTTTTCACGGTTCCTCTGTCTTCCCACCATCTTTGGCCTGGTTCAGAACCCTCCTGGTG